CGCGTTGTTGACATTATATTTGACAGCGACGGCATAAATAATAACATGCCGAAGTTAAATTAGATTCATTTTCAAAGTGTACGTACCAAAACATCGCAAAGGCTAATAGAATTTGTTGACGCAGTGATGCTCGCAGATTATTAAACTGGTTTCGCTTACTTTATTCGGAAATGTGACTTTCCTTTTAACCAAACTATCTATATGATTGATGATGTCCATCATTTTACTCCGTTTCCCGGTATAAAACAATTTTCGAAAGATATTGATTTCTTATCAATAATTGTGTGCATATTCCGGGACCATAACCCATGGACAACGGTGCATTATGCATACTCCATTCAAACAGGACTTGCATAATTAAAACCATACTAATGTATTCAGAGAATGGATACACTAGTTCAACCGTGTAGCATGAATTGTATTACAAATGCATATATACCAGTCAGCCAGCCAGTTATTTGATCTTTGTTTGGAATGTCTGCAGGAAAGGGGCTTGTTACTTCCTGACTCGTAATGAAGTAATCTTCAGCGTTTTTTGTGTGTGTTTTTCACTTGTTTGACAAATAACTATGGATGGTTGCACCAAAATGAGACCTGCATTGAAGTATTCCCACTGAAACTTTTTGTGTTTAGCGGAGATATTTGGTGTTTTTTTATTAACTGGATACATGTGGGTGTTGGATGAATTTTGATGTCTGTTATTTTTCATAATTTCAATTTCATAATTGACAATCGCACATTGGCACATTTATATTTAGATAGTCAAGATGACTACCCTCTTGAATAATGTTCTAGTAAAAATAATCTTTCAGAATCTCCTACAAACCAATCCAATTGTCCTTATTAAGTACATAGAGATAATGTTAGAATGGCTAATTGTGTTTACTTGCTGATAACAAACAGTCTTTTATTTTATATCAGTGATTTTTAGGTAAGTGGCTAGTATGCGCGTAATTTTTATAGTAAAATGGCATTATACCAATCCATCTAAACGCACCATATTAATCTTAAAAATACTTCTTCACATCTGAGATCAAACACAAATTAATAGTTTTTAATTTCCTTTGCTTCGGTGTCAAAATAGTGTAATGCTACGTGATATTTTAATGCGTGTGTTGCATGTGACATGTTATTTCAAATAATTTATCAAAGATTCTGTCATACTCAATCACTGTAACATATGAATTGTTCATGAATGTATTTTTTATTCCCTTTAAAGGGAGAAACATGACTTCAAGTACGACGACCTCGGCTGTGGAACAAAGCTAATGTACGTATGTGAGCCCCTAGGTAAGAATATTTATATTTTAACATGATTTTCCGTTTTCAATTTTTTAGAACTATTCGCAGCTCCATTATGCAATAACGATTACTTGATTAAACATGTAGCTTTTAATAACACAATAAGCAGCATTAAATTCAATTTCGTGTCGAATTACTTGTTTTTTCAGTCAAGTAATGCATCCATATCTTACTAGAAGAACCTAGAACACTAAGCCGGGGTATTTGAAACCGAAATTGTCATCTAAGCGTTAGGCCGTCGCTGATTGGCTGCTGAGCTGGAATGCCAATTTTTAGTTTTAAATACCCCAAAAAAGTGTTCTAGGTTCTTCGTGTAATTAGGTGTTCGTATGCAAGGGATTTTTCCACTCAAAAACGACGGATTAGGCCGAAGTTTGTTATCGGTTGGCTTAATATAACCCCAACGGACCGTATTTTTGTGAAAGATTGGTATTTTTGTCCTGATTTGTAGGAATCTGAAAAACGCGTTTCACAACTTGTCTCTTATTTAGTTTTATACATCATTCAAGATGGCGGCCCCATATAGTAAATATCGTATTTATTTTATTATCAGCCAGCTAACTGTGAGTGCATATATAGCCGCACAGAGCACATTGACGACTGTACCCCAATTTTATATCGTTTCTCCTAATATATGATAGACATATTAAAGTAATGGCAATTAAACAAGGCTAATACACCAACAAATCTGTAACTAGGATTGTTTTGTATCAATGAAACACATTTAACTGCCGTGTATATATGAACCATACATTCTAATGAGTGAAATTATCACGCGTTACAGCAGTGCTCCAAATAAAAATATCAGTCACGTGATTTGTGTTATATTTCATTTTCACTCTGTGGCTTGCACTGTTTTCACGATTATCATTGAAACAGAACAGTTGGACAGAGTCAATAAACGTAATTCATTTGAAATGTTTCCATTCGGCAGTACTGGTAGCTTCATTACCCCCCTCCCCATCCTGCTGCGGTAAAAGTCTCTAGTTCTCCACCAAATTATATCACAAAACGGCATGTTACCAAATCGCTGTTTTCTGGTTACACAATTAATACCAACATTAATATAAATTCCAAACCAAGCGAGAGAGAAGTAAGCGAGTACATTTTTGTGTTTTTATGGCACAGTGACTTTGATTGAACACCTGACAAAGTGCATTTGTGTTTGATGGACTAATTGTGACCTTAACAATCCATTATTTATATTTACACAATATTATATGAACGCTAGATTATACAAATGTATACTTTTCGATTTTGAATGTTAAATCACCCCTAAATGTAATTTCTTCACGCATTGCAACAGGAAACGCGTGACTCATGACCGTATCAACTGAAATTATATCATGTCCCATGTTGCTTCAGATAAAATAGTGCCGCATTAATGAATATCTTAAATATTTAACGGGGGGCAAGGGTTATTTTCGTTCAACGTAATTGCACTATTTTTTGGTTCGTACAACGTAAATAGAAAAAATAAATTCCGTAATTCTGTAATCACAGGCTAGACGTACAACGCAATCAATCAAATATTTTTTCGTACACTGTAAAAATGTGTCATTTTTCTCGGTACGTACAAGAATTTACATCCAAATAAAAAAATCGTAAAAAATAATCCAGGGAAAATACATTTTAGAAACTTTAAAACGACTAGATGACACAATTCACTGTCAAGACGTAAAAGGCCCTCTAACCGAATGAAGAGCATTACGAGGGTAACATGCGCATGCGTCTTTACACACGGCGCAGTAATGGCGGTGAATTTGAGTCGGAGAGCTCTTCTGACCATTATATGTTCCATTTTTTAACACTGTAAACTGTAAAAATGTCTTTTTTTCCTTGTAAATTGTAAAAAAAACCTTTTTATTTCCCGTAAAACCGTACCAGCTACCCCCTTTGCCTCCCCTCTTTAACTACTCATTCAAGTAAGCATGAAAAACGTTATATATATTGCAACTCTCAACATATCAATTAGTAATGCTATTCAATTCAGCAATGGTCATGTCACGGATGTGTTATACGTCAATCCGCGTATCACAAATTTCATGCCATTTTCATTTAAAGTTGGCCTTCCGAATTCAATCTTCTCTGTTTCAGTTTTAACGCGGCGTATGAGCTGTTGCGTGTATGAAAGAGAGGTTATTCACCATGGAAAAAAAATATGCATTATATTATATTTTTTATGTTCGATATTCTCACTCGTGAGAATATGGAACTTTAAAACTTGCGATATCATATTTTTGAATTACAGATTGTGACATTGCTGCAATGCTACCCAAATACAAACTAATTACAATGAAGAACCCCCGCGAAGAGTCAATTCAAGCATGCGAATCGGCTGGCATGGTACTTGCTAGAGACGAGTGTGAAATATCACATGCTATCATGACATTCAAGATACGGTCACTTGGGTTCTATGACATGAGTTTTCACATTGATGCAATCAAAAGTGGTTCTAACGTGGTATCAAATGATGGCACTATTCTGGATTATCAACCCTTTGCAAAGGGGCAACCTGATGGAAATGGTGACTGTCTATATTTATGGTGGGTATTTATATACGACCATGTTAGCCACTAGCTGGACGTGCTTCATATTTGTTACTAAATTATTTTTGTGAAAGCACTATTTCATTAGTATAATTTGAATTCGATATGCAACCTCACATTTTTATTTTGCTTACGTGAAATCAATTTGTACTCATGTATCCATAGATATTGAGTGTTGTTTAATGGTCTATATATGGTGACCATTTTGTTATCTATGTCTAAGAGAACCATGTTCTAACCTTAGAATATTTAACCATCTTTGTCGTTAATATAGACAATGACATATATACATGGTTTGTTTTGTTTAAGCATAGAAAACTCCCTTTTACACTAGATATTCGCCAAATTATAACATTGACATTTTTGTTTGTACTATATATATGCGTTTGTTTGCTAAAGTCGACGTTATGGTATTCCATATTTACGAACCTATCGAGTATGCATTTAAATGCGATATGAGTAATAGTTAGTTGTTATCTTCGACAGGAAATCAAAAGGATATCAATGGGACGATGACAAATGTAGTACGAAGATGGGATACGTATGCTACGATGGTAAGTTAGCATTGACGTATCAGAAGTTAAACATGATATTATATTTGGGAAAAAGATATCTTTAATATTAGTCTACCAAACACTCATTCACACAGTAGTGCATATGTAAGAAACATACAACTAATAACTTACGCATCTATTTGTTCACAAAGAATCTGCTGTGAGCACACCTATATTTGACAACCAATACCGCATATTCACTGATAAGAAGAAGTACAGAGAAGCAGCCAAGTCCTGCATGGATCAGGGTATGATGCTAACTGACTTGAGAGATGAGAATGTTCATTATACTATACTTGAAAAAATGCAACAACAAGGTATTACCAATCAAAATATCTGGATTGGCCCCAGAACCGTTGGCAGTCTGCTATTGACAATGAGTGGTTCCATGGCTACATATCAACCATTTGCTAAGGGTGAGCCTAATGGTGATGGACCATGTGTACATCTTTGGTAAGTACATTATTACAGTTTACAGCACCCGGAAAATATGCTAACCTGCGCCAAAATCTCATCATTATCAATATCTTTATCAATCCTCAGAGTCGTAATGTAGGCCTTGTGGTTGCATAGTTATAAGCGGGTAAAATGCTTGTTGATTTGGCCACTTTATCCTTTTATCTAAAATTTGATTGCACGGGTAACATGTGTGTAATGTATAGAGCTGTTGTCTATGTTTCGCCTTGAGTTCTATTGCGCTCATGCATACAACATACTTTGTTCTTAAACTTTTGTCCTGTAAATTTAATTGCTTGAAACGCTGCTAAAGTTTGGAGTTTCTAGCTTCCCCAGTTTGGAGTTATATTGATTCATATATACACTCACGCACACACACACTCATATACATCTACGCAGGCGTGCGTAAATGCTATATTGTTAGACTTAATCAATCAACAGTGACCAGCGTTTTTTTATTTCGGTAATATTACGATATTTATATTTAAGTCACATCTTCATTCAGTGTTATAATTCTGCAATAATAATGGTTATTAATCTGCACA